CCACTCTGCCTCAGAATGCAATTACAAAAATTTACCGTGCTAGATGTGCAAGATTGAGATTGTTAATGAATCATGGAATTCCTGAAGATATTCGCTGGTTGATTGAAGCAAAGGTCCGATTATCAGGTGAGTCCTCTAACTCCTTCATTTCACACATGCCTGGAATAGGTAAAAGCATTATTATAAAGAAACGTCGTGCAAAACGACTGAAAGTCTGTCATCGATGTGCTAGATGGACTTGTAATACACAATGTCGTTCTTTAGGAATGATATCTATAAACCGTGAAGATAAAATACAATTCATTAAGGATGGCCTGAGTAAGGAGTCTTTAGATAATCTTCTATTGACTCTTGAGACGCATCCTAGTGGAGATGTGCATCGTGGAATTCATAATTTATGGCCACTATTTCATAAAGAACATGATCGACTTAGTCTTGGGAATCTGACTAAAAAAGACCTTGTTTGCTAGTTTTTAAGAAAACTGGATGGGAAGCCTATCCCCGACCCATATAGGGCGTTTAAGCCGTTCTTGGACGTAAAACCAAGGGAAGATGTGAGCCACAATCACAACTACCTGTACATACACATGCTTTTTCAAAAGTAAATAAATAAATAAAGAGAGAGAGAGATTGTGTGAGACTCTAGCTGGCCTACATAAAGGTGGTATGATTGTCTTCCTAATTTCTCATCTATAAAACCCTATCTTCCTTCCTTTCATTTCTACTCAACCCATACATTCAACAAATACACAAGTGTGTAGAAATGGCAAGTTCCTCAGGTCATCATATAAGAAATATTTGTGTTTTCGGTGCATCTAGTCCTGGGAAAGAAAAGGAGTTTTTAGAATCAGCAAATCATTTTAGTCAAGTGCTAGCTGAGAGAAAGATTCATTTAGTGTATGGGGGAGGCAGTCTTGGGTTAATGGGAGGTGTGCCAATAGTTGTATTTTTAAGAGGTAGTCAAGTTTTAGGGGTCGTCCCCGAAGCTTTGGCACAAGGGGACATCATTGGCAAAACAATTAGAGAGGAACAACAGGTCTCCACAATGTCAGCTCGAATGAATGTAATGTTTAATCATGTTGATGCCTTCATTGCTTTACCAGGTGGTCTAGGCATATTGAAAAAGATCTTTCATATTTCCTCTTGGGCCCAACAGCACATTCACCATAAACTCATAGGTTTCTTAAATGTTAATGGTTATTATGATAAGTTGTTGTCTTTTCTTGATCATGCTGTGGAACAAGAATTTCTAATATATTCTGTACGACAAATCATAATCTCTGCTGCTACTGCTGAACAATTGATTGACCAACTACAATCTTTCATTCCTGTAATTGATCCTTCTATGAGTCGCATAAATTGGTCAACTAAGGAAAGCCGTAAAAAGCTTAGATTGGATTTGAGCCTTCATTTGTGAATCTTTGTGTCTTTTGGTTTTATTATTGTGTTTTGTTGTTTCTTATATTTGTTTTAGTGTGTTTCAGGTTTGTCAATGTTCGTTATTTCAGGTGATATCTTCTATACTCTATCTTTCTACCTTTAAACATTGAGGACAATATCTCGTTTTCGTTGGGGGGAGAGGGTAGTAGCTAAAAAAAAAACTAACTGTGTTTTCTATTTCATAAAGCATGTGCAAAATTATTGTTACTATGATGGCAGAGTAAGGAGAACTTTTTATGACTCTTGAGACGCATCTTAGTAATCATTCGTAACAAGGTCTATCATAATACTTCTTGAAATATTCAGATTTACAAACTCTCGCATTGTTATCACTTAATTCTGCTCATATACTTATTTAACATGTATTCTTAAACATTAATTTACACACACACACTTTTAACATATGATTGTGGGTTGCATATTGGATTATTACATTATTTATGTTCTTTTGTTAAGGGTAACAACTAAGGGAAAGGGATAGCATATAATTAAAAAAAAAAAGAAAAAAAAAAGAAGAAAAGAAAAGAAAAAATGATAATAATAAAAATGTAGATAAGTTTGGTTTTGTAGCCTCCCTCCTCTAACCTTGACATTGTTTATTATCATTATTTAATCTTTACATTAATTTTCCATCTCAAGGTTCTCATCAACTTTTCTTCTTTTTCTTTTTCTCTATTATTGTTATTGTTATTATTATTATTATTATTATTATTATTATTATTATTACTATTACTACTACTACTACTACTACTACTACTAGTATTAATATTATTACTATTACTATTGTTGTTGTTGTTGTTATTGTTGTTGTTATTATTGCTAGTATTATTATTGCTACTATTATTATTGTTGTTGTTATTGTTACTATTGTTGTTGTTTATAATTGTTGTTTATAATTTGTACAATTAACCTCCTTGTGGTTTGACCCCGGTCTTGCCGAGTTATTTATTACTTTGACACTCTTGCACTTGGGAGAAGACATCAATCTTTTAGTCGTGTCAGGGAACAACTAACCCCCTCATCCTCCTCTAGTGCCGCCTTTATTTTAGATTTATTGTACTTGAACATACAATTTTTTAAATTTGTCATATATATTTGTTTTTATACTAATTTATTTTATTTTAATTATTTTTCTACTTTTGTTTAATATATTTTTTAAAAAATATATATATTTTTTAAATATTACTAATGAGGTTACCGACAACACAACTCCATCAGTATATTTCAGAGATTTGAAAAAGAATTATTATAAATGTCACTATTATTTATGGGGTTACCGATGGAACTAGACCATTGAAATAGTTCAAAGAGTTGGAAAAAAATTGCTGCAAATATCATTGTTATTGTTAACGCATCGATGAAATTAAAGAATGTATTTTATCAGTGATATGTTATATTTACCATTTAATATACTAACAGAATAAAACGAGTAAAAAACTTTTTACATGTTTTGTCTATCGGTAAATCCATTGAGGTAAAATTCTTATAGTAACCATATTTAAATTTAAATTAAATTTTATCAATTCAACTAAAGTGGATTTTATTACATAATTTTCTCAAGTCAATTGTAACATATACTAAAAGGAATCAGTGTTTTACTGTGAACTGCACAGTGCAATCCACAATAAAACACGGATGCTTTGTTTTTTTTATTTTTTATTCCTGAGCTACCTTTTATTTCATTTTTTTAGTTTTTTTTTTTAGCTGTTCTTTTTTGTTTTTTTATTCCTTTCAGGTTTTTTCTTACTTTTTTTTTGTTTTAATAATTTTTTATTTAATTTAGTTTGTTAATGTTAATTTTTTATTTAATTATCAGAATTTCATCATTCAGATCCCGAGTTTAACAAATTAACCTAATTTGACGAGTTAACCCGGATTTTTTATGTTTTTCTATTAATTTTTTTCATTTAGTTTAGTTTGTTAATGTTAAATTTTTTTCTATTTAGTTATCAAACTTTTATGGCACATATTATAGGTTTCACGGGTTAGCCTTGTTTCATGAGTTGACCCTTCAATTTTTTTTGTTTTTTTCTTTTAAATTTTTTATTTAATTTAGTTTGTTAATGTTAAATTTTTTTTATTTAGTTATCAGACTTTTAATACACAAATCTCGGTTTTAACGGATTAACCTAATTTGACGAGTTAACCCAGATTTTTTTTTTTTGCTTTTTTTCTTTTTAATTAATTTTTTTCATTTAGTTTAGTTTGTTAATATTAAATTTTTTTCTATTTTGTTATCAGATTTTCATAACATATATCCTGGATTTGACGGGTTAACCTAGTTAATTATGGGTTATCCTGTCAATTTTTTTTTCCATTTAGTTATCAAACTTTCATGACGCAAATTTCCAGTTTGACAGGTTAACCTAGTTTGAAAGATTAACCTAGTTGATTCAGATTTTTTTTCTTTTTTTTATTAATTTTTTTCTTCATGTTGGTTTTTTTTTAATTAATCTATTTAATTATCACACTTTTATCACACAATCTTGCAGCCAGACTCATATCCAAGGCTCTTGGGCCTGATGTTGCAGTTAAACTCACTTAAACTTGAATTATGTGAGTTTAATATTATAAATATTACTCTTAGGTCAAGCGTTGCAGTTAAACCCAAGGCTTTTAGGTATATTTTTGTAAAAAGACCTAACACTCTTAGATCTTAGCCTTTTTTTATATTTTTTATGTCAGGAAACAAAATTAACCAGTGGCATAAGTCTTTGTTTGTTTTTTCTTTTTCTTTTCATTTTTAATCCTTTCACTATGGACTCCACAGTGCAGTCCATAGTGAAAAAACTGATGCTTTTAGTTTTTTTTTTTTCTTTTTTTAAATTTACTTTCTAAATATTAAATTTTTTTCTTTAATTATCAGACTTTTATAACACAGATCCTAGGTTTGACTGGTTAACCAAATTATCAGACTTTTATAACACGGATCCTAGGTTTGACTGGTTAACTAGTTGATTCATATTTTTTTCATTAGTTTTTTTCTTCCTGTTGGTTTTTTCTCTTTGCTTTTTTCTTTTTAATTGTCACATTTTTATGACACGACCTTATAGCCAGACTCACATCCAAGAATATTGGGTCTAGTATTACAATCAGACCTACTTAAATTTGGATCATGCAAGTTTAATGTTATTATTAATATTATAAATATTATTTAGATTAAGTATTGTAGTGAAACCCAAAATTTTTGAGTATAACTTTGTAGGATTATTTAGATTAAGTATTGTAGTGAAACCTAAAATTTTTTAGTATAACTTTGTAGAAAAATATAATACTTTTAAATCTTAATTTTTTTTAATTTTTTATATAAAAAAATCAATAGATCACATCGCACAAGTAAACATAATACTTTTAAATCTTATTTTTTTTAATTTTTTATATAAAAAAATTAATCCATCACATAGCACAAATAATATAACTAGTTTAAAATCTATTACAAATCAAGTTTTTAGTTGTGAATTTTTTTAACTAATAAAAACTATGATACCAGAAAACAAAAGGTCCAGGTACACTTAAAAAAAAACAATTCAATCCGACCTCTTCCTTTCTGCATCTTCTACTTCAAATTCTAATTATTAGGAGAGTAGGAACCAACAAAGAAATTTCTGTGCCTGTAGGCCTACAATTGCCGTTGAATATTAAACACCCACTGCTGTAACAGCTATGTAGTTGACACTCGACAGAGACTTCAACCATTAATCAAAGAAAACCATTAACAGCTTTGTCTCTTTACTTCACTTGTTTTCTCCTTGGCACCCACGAGCTTTTGGGCACGGTAAAAGCCAAGCACGGTCTCTGCCACAGCTATTCTTCTCAACTTTGGATTTCTTTTTCTGTTTTTACGCCAGTTTTCTCTTTGACAAAACAAACACAACCCAAACTATGGCTGAAGCATGTGTAGGAGGATCATTTCTCTCTGCTTTCCTTCAGGTTTTGTTTGATAGGATGGCTTCTCCTCAGGTTTGGGGCTTCTTCAAAGGCCAAAAGCTTGATGATGGACTGCTGAAGGACTTGAAGGGAACAATGAGATCTGTTAACAAATTGCTTAATGATGCTGAGGAGAAGCAGATAGCTGATTCAGAGGTGAAAGATTGGCTTGATGATCTCAAAGATGCTGTCTATGAAGCCGATGACTTCTTCGATGAGATTGCTTATGAAGCTATGCGATTGGAGGTGGAAGCTGGCTTTCGAACCAGCACTGATCAGGGGGCAAGCTTCTTGTCTTCTTTTAGTCCATTCAATAAGGTGAAGGAGAAAATGGTGGCAAAGTTAGAAGAGATTTCTCGGACACTTGAACGCCTATTAAAGAGAAATGGTGTCCTTGGTCTGAAAGAGGTCAGTGGCCAGAAAGAATCAACCCAGAAATTACCGACTACTTCTCTGACAGAAGATTCATTTTTTTATGGCAGGGAAGATGATCAAGAAACCATAGTGAAATTGCTGCTGTCACCTGATGCAAATGGAAAAACTGTAGGTGCTATTCCCATAGTCGGTATGGGAGGGGTTGGTAAAACTACTCTGTCTCAGTTTGTCTTGAATGACAGTAGAGTACAAAAGGCGTTTGATCTCAAGGCCTGGGTTTGTGTTTCCGTAGATTTTGATGTGCACAAGCTAACAAAAGATATCCTTATGGAGGTTGGTTCACAAAATTGTGATGCCAAGACTTTGAATGGCCTTCATCAGGAGCTGGAGGGGAAATTGAAGGGGAAAAAGGTTTTGCTTGTTTTGGATGATGTTTGGAGCAGTGACCAAAGTCGATGGGACTTCTTATTGAAACCTTTCAAGTCTGTGGCAGCAGGAAGTAAGCTCATTGTTACAACACGCAATGAGAACATAGTGCCAGCCATGCACCGGGCCATACCGCGCAACCAAAACAAAGAATCAAGCCCTAGCCCTATTTCAATTCATCGTTTGATGGGATTAACTGAAGACTTTTGCTGGATTTTGTTTAAAGAGCATGCATTTAATGGTGAAGATCCCAGAGAACACCCTGATTTACAAGGAATCAGTAGACAAATAGCAAGCAAGTGCAAAGGTCTACCTTTAGCTGCAAAAACGCTTGGACGTCTCCTATGTTTTGAAAGAAATGCTGAGAAGTGGGAGGAGATCTTGGAGAGCCACATATGGGAATCGCCAAACGATGAGATTATTCCAGCCCTTCAATTGAGCTATTACTATCTTCCACCCCATCTAAAACGATGCTTTGCTTTTTGTTCAATATATCCTAAGGATTACAGGTTTCTAAAGGAGGATTTAGTTCGTTTATGGTTGGCAGAGGGCTTAGTCCAACCCAAAGGATGTAAAGAGATTGTAAAACTCGGGGAAGAGTACTTCGATGATCTTCTTTCAAGATCACTTTTTCAACGATCAAGATGCAATGAATCAGTTTTTGTTATGCATGATCTCATAAATGACTTGGCAAAAGTTGTATCTGGAGAATTCTCCTTCACATTGGTGGGTAACTATTCAAGCAAGATTAGTGGAAGAGTCCGCCATTTGTCATACGCGACAACTGACTATGATGCCTTGGATAAATTTGAGGGCATTGATAAAGCCCAAGTTTTGCGCACATTCTTACCGTTTTCACATCGGCGGTCTTCAAGAGTCGACAGCAAGGTACAGTATGATCTACTACCGACCTTCATGCGCTTACGAGTTTTATCTTTGGCTCCATATCAAAATGTAGTTCAGTTGCATGATTCAATTGGCCGCTTAAAACATTTGCGATACTTGGACCTCACTGCAACACCATTGAAAAAGCTACCTGAATTTGTGTGTAGTTTTTATAATTTACAAACATTGTTGTTGGACAGCTGCATGTGCCTTGTTGAATTGCCTAACTCAATCGGCAATTTGAAGAATTTACTTTTTCTGATACTTCATTGGACAGCAATCCAAAGTTTGCCTGAATCCATAGTCAATTTGTCAAATCTGCATACTCTGGTCTTGAGTGAGTGCAAAAACCTCACTGAGCTGCCAGCCAACATGGGAAAACTCACAAAGCTTGAGAGGTTAACTGATTTCTTTGTGGGAAAACAGAGCGGTTCTGGCATTGAAGACTTGGGGAAACTTCAAAATCTTCAAGGAGAACTTCGTATTTGGAATCTCCAAAATGTTTTGCCTTCTCAAGATGGTGAAACCGCCAAGTTGTTGGATAAGCAGCGTCTTAAGGAATTGGAGTTGAGATGGGCTGGTGATACCGAAGACTCACAACATGAAAGACGGGTACTTGAGAAATTGAAGCCTCACAAAGATGTGAAACGTCTTTCTATTATTGGTTTCGGGGGTACACGCTTCCCGGATTGGGTGGGAAGTTCTTCCTTCCCAAAGATCGTATTCTTAAAGCTCAAAGGATGTAAATACTGCACCTCCTTGCCTCCACTTGGGCAATTAGTGTCTTTAAAGGAGCTAAGGATTGAGGCATTTGATTTGATTGATGTAGTTTGTCCTGAGTTGTTCGGAAACGGCGAGTCCAAGATTAGAATTTTGGGTTTTGAAGATATGAAAGAATGGCGTGAATGGAATTCAGATGGTGTCGCTTTCCCTCTCCTTCAATTACTTCAGATAAGACGTTGTCCCGAGCTAAGAGGTGCCTTGCCTGGTCACCTTCCTGCTCTAAAGGAACTTTGCATTGACAGATGTCCGCTGCTCATGGCTTCACTTCCGAGGGCTCCAACCATTCGTCAAATGGAATTGTTTGACACGTCTCGTTCTGTGCAGCTAACAAAATATCAATCAGGGATGCTGAGTCTCATGGTTCAGAAATTTTACTCTCAAAACTCACCATTACAAGGAATTGAGCACATAGGAGTTTCTACTACTTTGGACAAAATTGAAGTCCATTGTTGTGATTCACTCATGCTCTTTCAGCCCAAGTCGTTCCCAAATTTGGAGATTCTTCACATCTGGGATTCTCCACATTTGGAGTCTCTTGTGGATTTGAATACCAGTTCCTTGTCAGTTTCTTCTCTTCATATACAAAGCCTGTCTTTCCCAAATTTGAGTGAGCTTTGTGTGGGCCACTGCTCAAAGTTGAAGTCGTTGCCTCAAGGTATGCACTCCCTCCTCCCTTCCCTTAAGTCATTGTCTATAGAAGATTGCCCAGAACTTGAGTCATTTCCTGAAGGGGGTTTGCCTTCCAAATTACAATCACTTAACGTCCAAAATTGCAACAAACTCATCAACAGCCGGAAGCATTGGGGTTTGCAATCACTCCTTTCTCTTTCAAAATTTAGAATTGGTTATAATGAAGATGTGGAATCCTTTCCTGAGGAAATGCTGCTGCCCTCAACTCTTACATCTCTTGAATTATCTTGTCTTGAAAATCTGAAATATCTTGATTATAGGGGGTTTCGACACCTTACCTCTCTTGCAAAATTGACTATCAGTTCCTGCCCCAAGCTCGAGTCCTTGCCAGAAGAGGGTTTTGCTGCCTCCAAATTACAGTCACTTGCAATATGGGGTTGCCACAGGCTCATTGCACGCCGCATGCAATGGGATTTATGCAAGTTCCCCTCTCTTTCCCGCTTCAGAATTGGTTATTGTGATGATGTGGAATCCTTTCCAGAGGAGACACTGCTGCCCTCAACTCTTACATCACTTGAAATTTGGAGTCTTGAAAAACTGAAATCTCTGAACTACAAGGGGCTTCAACACCTCACCTCTCTTGCAAGACTGAAGATCAGGTTTTGCCGCAATCTCCATTCCATGCCAGAAGAGAAGCTGCCCTCCTCCCTTACTTATCTTGACATCTGCGGCTGTCCTGTTCTGGAAAAGAGGTGTGAAAAGGAGAAAGGGGAAGATTGGCTCAAGATTTCTCACATCCCCAACATAAATAATTGAGCTAAAAGCCTAGACTGTAGCGTCTCTTCTTTCATTTCTACAATTCAGTTCTGGACTGTAGTATTTCCAATAAGAAACAGAGTTGCTTTGCAAAATTTACAGGGTTGTCATGCAACTTTGTTGCTGCTAGCTGTTTAATTTTAATGTCCATTTCATATTTTCAACTCTTTAACGACTTCTTGAACAGTATCCATTTTAAGCTCGTAATATGATCAATTCTCAATCCAATTCAACTCTGGTTCTCAACTACAAGAGCTGGAGAACTGGAATGTTGCCCATAATTATTAAACTCATACCAATCTAATTGGTTGATCCGAGACGCAGGACTTAATTTCTGTTGGATTTCAAGTTGAACCGAAAAAATACTGACTTGGTGAAACTCGATTGATTTGGCCAACGCTTGAGCACATACATATACACACGTTATAGGCTCTAATTTATTTTTCATGTTTCTTTTTTGGAAATGAAAGACAAATTTATTTCTCTCCAAGAAACAGAAACATAATCAATAGGCAAAGCAAATTTAATGAGTGACAGAAAAACTTCAATAAGAAAACCTTGGCTTGCATACGATGTTAGCTCTTTTTATGTTCAATTTCAGAGTTGTTATTTAATTTCTAGCAAGACATTCTAAACAATCTATCTCCATGCCATGAAATTGAAATGTAGTATCCCTTTTCCAAGAATGTTGTATATAATCCATAATTCCAGTAGAGATAGTAAACGCTACCAAAACATGAACTTCACTACTAAAAATCCAGAGAGAGTATCAACTCCAATATTCTTCTTTTCTTTTCTACGCTTAATTTCATATTCAAACCCTAACAATTTAGCTAACCACAAGTGTTGAAATGGAGTGGTTAGCTTTTGATCCATAAGATATTAGATAATGCTTCCATTTAATTGCATGCAATATGACTATCTTTTCTCTTTTATAAGTTGCTAGTGCTTGTTGTTTTGGTCCTAAGGATTTACCAGTGTAGGCTATTCGATGTTCTTCTTGCATCAATACTGCCCCTGTTCTCGGTCCTCATGCATCAGTTTCCATTATAAATAACTTACCTGAATTTAGTAAAACCAGCACAAGAGGTTTAATCATGATCCTCTTAAGGTCATTAAAAACTTTTGTAGCTACTTCAAACCATTCAAAAGCATCCTTCTTCGATAGATTAGCCAAGGGTTTACATAATAAATCATAGCCCTTCACGAACCTTCTATTGTACCATATGAGACCTAAGAACTCTCTCAAATGCTTGATGTTTCTAGGTATAGGTCAGTAAATCGCAGTCAAATTATATTTAATGGTGAGTTTGTTAAGATCACTATAATCCACGCATAATTCTATATAGCATGTAATAATCCCTGAGATATTTTTTAAAATTTATTTTTTAAAAATAAAAATAAAAATTGATAATACGAAGAAAGTAAATTGAAAAATTAAGCAATAATTTTGAAGAAAATTTTAAAGTCTAATTGTATTCTAAATGATATCCACATTGTTCACAAATATTCATTTTTTATTAAAAAAATTTCTTATAATTTAATCCATAATAAATTTTACAATGAACCCACAAATACTTATAAGAAGTTAGTTATTTATCAACTAAGTATTCTTTTTACCACTAGATCCAATCTCCTAGTCCTGCGGAAAGGAAAAAAATTTCATGTTCTTCCTTCAGGGAAGGGAGGGTCTTCCTTTAGGGAAGGGAGGGTTAGGAAAATCCTACGATTCGTTATTGAAGCTAATAGTAACAATCTCCATTTCATCCAAAATGCGTATTTTTTATTTTTCCAATGGATTTACATCTTTCATTAATGCTAAAAATAAAAAAAATACAAATATAAGATCAAATTAGATGATTATTTGACAAATTTGCATAAGTATTAAGACCAAGGACATAATTAAATTTTTAATAAGCCAATTTGATTTAATCAAGGGCTAAATTAAATTTTAATTATGTTTAAGAATTAATTTGTATCCAATAAAAGTATTTAATTAAGTGCAAGGACTTAATTATACTTTAAATTGATCAAATTAATTTTATTTTAATTGGTGAAAAATTAAGTTTTGGAGTCTAATTTAAGGTTAATTAAGAAGATTGAAAATTTAAGAGACTAAATTTAACTAAAATTTAACAAATAAATCTAACTAAAATTTAACAAAGAAATCCAGATCATGTTAAGATCTTGAATAAGATAAAAAAAAAAAATCCAAGTTATTTTGTTTATGAACTAGTACAATATATATTGCATAATCTTGGACAAACAAAATTGAAGTCATGATTTAAGCAAGCAAACAAAGAAACCAAATCTTTTTTTCTTTTTCTTTCTCTTTTTCTTTTGGGTGGGGGGGGCTTCTCTCCAATTTTCATGCAGCCCCTCGTACCATAACCTGATTGATGAAGCTTGGTGAAAGTAGAAAACTCATTATTATCAGCATATGGAATTAAGAAATCCAAACTCTCACTTTCTGGTCAAAATAATTATAACTACAAGAATAATGTTCATGTAATTATTATCTGATGCAAGAAAAAGGATGGGGAGGAATCAAGTTTTGGCCCTACCTCTCAGTTCTTTCTCTGGGGCCTGACAACATGCCTTTTTACGCATGTCAGTGATTCATCAATTAGGATCATAATGTTTTTTGCACTTCCCCTTTTTTTATTGAAGTGCGCATGAAATAACCTGAAAACTACATGAACTAATAACCCTGCAGGTGGAACTAGAGACCCATAATGAGCTTTCCAACACCATTGTTAAAAAAAAAAAAAAAAACAAACAAACAAACTACTAGGCCCCTCCAATATCTGGCAACGACAATAAAACCTTAGACACCAAGCAGAATCGCTCAGTATAAAAGGCAAGGCTGCAATACTCTTCAAGAAGACAAATTTCTTACGGCAATTCCCAAGAGTTGATTTTTATACAAAACATTAAACATCATGCAAGTACTAATGTGTTACTTAACTTGGGCATTGCAAGTTTAAGCTGCTAAATAGGTAAGTAAATTGAAAGAGATTTCGCGAATAAGACTATGAATAAAGCACAATGACATATTGGCCCAAACATCAGCATAATTTTGCCCTGAATAACTTTTAAGACATCTGCAGCATTTGTGTCACCTTCCTACACATGAACCCTAAGAGGAACATAAAAAAGTTTAGATAAAAAAAAAAAACAGAAATCAAAAGGGAAAACAAGATTGTAAATAAAGCTCCTACCCAAGTCCTACATGATTTTATGACCAAAATTATAAAATTCAAGCTTACTAGATAGAAATTCGCATGAGAGATTGTTCTTTTCTCTAAAAATTATTTTAAGGATAGCACTAATGCTTTCCAGCCTGCAACCAGTGCTTTTTGCCTTGTTCTGCTTACTTCTTTAAGGGGAAAGCAGCTTCCTAAATTATATCAATGGTCTCTTAGTGGCAGTGTCGTTTGCAATATTAAGATCAGCTAAAAGTTCATAAATTTAAGACCCTGGTTTAGTGAATCCCAATTCCTTGGATTCAAAGGGCACTTCAGCGATCAGCTTCTCAAGCTTCAAAAGAAGTGCTGAAACAGTTGAAATTTATCTTCGAAGAAGTATGGCCATATCAATTATAAGCACAGCAACAAAATTGTAAGAAGAATAGCTGCAAGTATATCTGGACATGCAATTCTATACAGCATATAGCGAGGATATTATAGGCATGGGGCAAGTTGAGTTGAGGAAAAAGCAAATAAGTACATCAAAGAACAGCAAATGCATACTGAGAGAACTAAGCAATCAAAAATCAGAATACCTCTGAGAATAGCAAAATTATCTGCATTCTACGATTTGTCATTTGATTCTTCCCTTCTTGTCACAGATAGGTCAATACAAGATTTTGCTTAAAAAATGCAAGCTGTGTGAAGCCCAGCGGGCAAATCAAAAGAGACTGCATTGTGAAGCCCAGCGGGCAAATCAAAAGAGGCTGTGTCTAACTATCTAAGTGGTGGTCAAGTGGTAAGAACTTGGGACCAAGGGGTTTGCTCCCTCTGTGGTCTCAGGTTCGAGTCCTTGGTTGCTCATATGATGGCCACTAAAGATTTACATGGTCATTAACTTAAGGGCCCGTAGAATTAGTCATGGTGTGCGCAAGCTGGCCCGAACACCCACGTTAATCTAAAAAAAAAAAAAAAGGCTGCATCTGCACATAAGTTTTCTGGCAACGTATTTGCAATATAAGAGTTTAAACTCATATAACATCAAACAAGTGACTGGCAGTAAAAATAAACTTGTCTTCTTACCAGGTTATGACCTTCATCAAATATCAGTATATTGTCAAATGACTATCAGAATAAAAAAAAAAAAAAGATTGTCCTCTTACCAGGTTATGACCTTCAACAAATATTAGTCTATTGCTGTCCCATTCAATGGTAAGAGATTTTTTATTTCCACGATCAATAAGATAGTTATAAGGTGCAAATAAAAGATCAACAACCTTTTGGAGCTCCGTTGATATGTAAAAGCATCTACAAAGTATTAACACACAGAATAATCACAAAAACATCAATGGCAATGGCAATGGCTTTTTAATATATATATATATATAAAGAGAATACTAAAACCTATGGTCCAAATGTTCTTCCAATATCAATCAAATCCTCCATGTCGACAGGCTCATCTACAAGGTGGGGATTGGGCTTCACTTAATCTAGAATGTAAGCACATACACAACAGAAGTCAGATTTTGTTGAGATTATAACTAATGGGAAAATAAATTCTGAGCTCAGTTGTTCAACCACCTTAAGGTATGTGATCTGCAAATGCAGTCTAAAAGTGAAGATGCCATCTCAAGTTTTCAATAAAATATTTACTAAGCTAAATGCAAACAAAGTCATCATCACCAAAATTGCATCCATCATTTTTTTTTTGGAATAAAAAAACTAGTCATTCATTATCATCTATGAATTCGCCAAAAAGTTGCATCATTTAAAGGATGAGAATAGCCTCTAAATGAATGCAAGAAGTATAGGGATAAGAGTATGGCAGCAAGGGTAGAAATGTTAAAGATCTTAATGTTGGATTGATGCCCAAGTCCCAGGAATTAGCAGATTGACTTTAACTTTTTCGGTGAGAAAATTCAAGGAAATGCCAGCTGAGAAGGAGAGGAAAAGCAAAGCTAAATCAAGGATAAAAGAGAGCATATGATAAC